AGAGCCAGGTGTCCATATGAAAATTGCAATGAAATATCCTGGGGTTGAGAATGAAATATATATTGAAAGCACCAGGTATCCATATGAAAATCGCAATGAAATATCCTAGAACAATGAGATATGCGATCTCATTGAACCTCTAGGCATTATACACATCGCCCTCCAGGCATATGTCTGGTTTTTATCATAAAAGTGTATACCACCCATCAGCGCACAGCATTTAATATGAAAGAGGCAATGAATACACCTGACCTAGGGAATGAGATATTTATTGAAATTGCACAACATTAATTATGAAAAGTACAATGAAAGCATCCAATATTCCTAATGAAATATTCAATGAAAGCGCACACAATTAAATATGAAAGAGGCAATGAATACACCTGACCTAGGGAATGAGATATTTATTGAAATTGCATAACATTAATTATGAAAAGTACAATGAAAGCATCCAATATTCCTAATGAAATATTCAATGAAAGCGCACACAATTAAATATGATAGAGGCAATGAATACACCTAACATAGTGAATGAAATATTTATTGAAATCACACAGGATTGATTATGAAAAAAGCAATGAAAGTGCCCAAAATTCCTAATGAAATATTCAATGAAAGTGCACACCATTAATTATGAAAAAGGCAATGAATACACCTAACCCAGTGAATGAAATACCTATTGAAAGCGCACAGGTTTAATTATGAAAAGCACCCTGTGGCCTTGCCTATATTTTATGAAAAGAACATAGGTTTTATAAGAAAGAAAACACAGGACACATCTATGAAATGCCTTTCATAAAACTTGTGGACTTATACACACAGCTCTGCAGGCAATTGCCTTAGTTTTATCATAAAAGTGGTAGCCACCAGTCATTCACTATTGCCCGATTGGCAGCGTCCGCATCCGAAAAGGTGGCTATGACGTGGGCGAAGCGCTGGTCCGTCCTTCGTCGCGCCGGGGGCTTGATCCACCTTAGCTTCATGAGTCCGCCCTCGGGTATGTTGTTTACTTCCTCTATTTCCCTCCTGTCCTTCTCACTGTTGGGGTCGAGGTTTAGCGGCACGTAGTAGGCGACGACGTTGTACGACCTCAATTTGACGGAGGCTGCTGCTTCTCCCAACTCCCGCAAGAAGGCCTCTGCGTTGGCCTTGGAAGCCATCCATACCGCGCCTTCATCCGATGCCATTTCGACCAAGATACCGCCGTTTTGTAACTTCAGTGCCGACCTTATCTTGTGCTTCTGATCTGTTGCCTTGCCCATGGCCTCCGCGAACTTACCCACCAGGACCGTGTTGATGCAGTCCCTGAGCTTG